AAAAAAAAAAAATTTTTACGAATTAATTTATGAAATCACGTCGTATAACCATATTTGTTTTGGCTTTCGTATAGTGAATAAATTTACAATTAATTTTCATAACAAATTTCCCCACTTCCACCGCTATTATCTTTTTATAAAATCTAATACAAAAATTCTTTTTAAGATATTTGTAGTCTGGATTGCCTAATCGAAATGAAAAGAAAATTTTTAAAAAAAAACGGATTATTTTTGGTCGCAGTGCATATTCTAAAAGTCCACCTGTAAAATACAAAACTTATTTGGTTCGTCTGTCATTAAAACAAATGGATAAGAAAATGAAAAACAATGTTCGAGTACAGAAGATATCGAGGACGCAATACAAACCGTTGCAAGTTATGTTAAAGTTGTAACGTTAGGAGACTAGTAAATGTTGTAGAATGTTAAGGAGCTTAATATTAGCGCTTATGGAATATTGTTTTAATCAAGTATTTATTATCGTCTATATCTTTTGAATTTCTTTATTAAATAAAATAATGTTGCACTTAGTTTTTATAACAGAATTAGCCACCAGAAAACAAGTTATTAACAATATTTTTAGTAAGGTTGGATATTATAAGCTGAAGTTTTACACGATATGTTTCTCATAAAAATATTAGTATATCCGAAAAAGGTTATTGACATAGGTTAGTAAATAAATACCAATTTTATTGTGAAAATATTTATTTACTTTCAAATTAGGGTTTCTTCTTTTTTTTTTTTAGTTTGATTTGAAATGTAAATTTTTGTTAATGACTGTCACCAACTTAATATAACTGATATAATATGAAAGTTTGTACTTTTAAGGTCACTGTTTTAATTTAGTTACTACTTCGGTCTAATATTTACAAAATTTAACTTCGAGTGGTGCCAAACCACATTGAATGAAATGCTGGGTAAAAAGATTAGGTCGGTGCCAATTTTCAAGGTTGAGGGGCTTGAAAATAAATCATAGGAAGTCAGAGTTTATCTGAAGTCGAATTCTGACCACTGGCATTTGGAAAAAAAATTACGTATTTACTTCGGCTACTTTTGTGTGTGTGTGTGTATTCTTCAGAATAAATTCACGTACGTAAAATTCAGTGTTGTGGAAGCATGACTTTATTCAGCCAATATTTTACTGCCTTTGTATCAAATTAATCCTTTTTAACTTTCTGTAGAAAAAGAATTTTCTCGTCATCCCTCTCTCTATATATATATATATATATATATATATATATATATATATATATATATATATATATATATATGTGTGTGTGTTTTTACTGCAATTAATGAGAGATCCAAACAATTTACCAGGTAAATTGTTTGGATCTCATTAATTGTAATTCACGTATATGCTTTATAATAAAAATTATATTGAGCAAACTTTTGTGGATCAGTTTTATTTCCCAAGCACGTAAGTGAATGGATTCGACTGGAATTCGAACTCGAATTCCAATCAATATTACATTCACTTGCGTGCTAATACCCTTGGGAAAGGTATGGATGTTCTTCTTCACCGCCCAGCTATGGGTAAATGGCAGTACAGACTGGATTCTTTAGCAGTTGGATGGCAACTGGTCTACCGCAAAAAGAAATGGTAACCTACTGCGGGAAAAAATCTGCCTCGTCAGTCATATATCGAAAGATACATGATCACCTATGCGTGTATCACGCATGGCACATAACTGATATTAATAGTATCTACCTGAATTACTTACCCACGGATTTATTTATTTTATATATATATATATATATATATATATATATATATATATATATATATATATATATATATATATATATATATATATAAAATGGTGAAATATAGTTTACTTTATATTTATGGGATAAAATGCTCAATATCAGAGATAGAGCGTATGTAAATATAAAAGTGAACATTATAAAGTGGACAATGTGGCCTGAAGACTGCGTTTAGCATAAAATAGTCTGTCATCTCTGAGTGTTGACTTCAGAGTTCACTTTTATACTTATATTTACATACGCTCTATCTCTGACATTGAGCACTTTATCCCATAAATATAATAAGCATACCTTAAAACTATATTCTATCATATATATACATATGTCTGTGTGTGTGTTTCTATCTCACTCGTACCGAGTAATTTATTCTAAAATGTACTTTTGCGGCTAATTTTCTGCAATCAATGTGGTCGTTCACAATGTGCAAACCCGGTTTAGAACAAAATCAAATGGAGAGAAATAGATTAGAAAGATTGTAATGGACAAATCCCCAAAGTGGGAAGGTCTTGCTTCCTTAAAAAAAAAAAAACAGCATTTCCAATCCTGGCTTTTACCTGGGTTTGAACGCCGGTCTTTTGTGCTAATGGGAAAAACTGATTTCAGCCACAAGGCACAATGCATGTGTTTCTTTCTTCTGTCATCGTATTTGTCTTTTTACCCCTATCTTTTTTGAAACACGCTTTACACCCGCAGTTTTTTTTTTCTTTTTAGTTCTTTATTTATGTTCTTTTATTTTTATTTATTTAGCGTTTCGCCTTGCCCGGCACTAAGAAAATAATTATCTGTCGAAGAGATAATTTGTGTGTCCTAGAAACTAAGTGTCCCTCGTTACTAACGTTATTTAACCGGGCACGTGCCAGGGCGCGGTCGCACGTTGCGAGTTACAAGGGTCGGGCGACTCCGATGTGTAGTAATAGCAGTTGTAGTAGTTGCAAGAGACTGGCCATCATCATCAACAGCGTCCGTCTTCGTAGTGTGATGCTGTGTAGAGGGGAGCCAGCGTGACGGTGTAACACAGTCAACTGTCGTGTTCTTAACGAGTGTCCTTATTGTCAAGTGACGTCGCCTCCAGGCCGGATCCGGCCTTAGTTCGATTGAGAACCGTTGCTTGACAGCCGTGGACAGAGCAGAATAAGTAGGCGGGGAGATGGGTTTGAATTTTGATTGAAACAAGAGAACAAATCGACGTACCCACGTGCAAATGCGACCCGCTCCCGAAAAGAGTGGAACACGCACAAGGCCCGAATTTATCGTTCAACAAATAAAAAACACTTCTCGTTGTAAACTGAAACTTTGATTCAGTGGTCAGTGTATTTGAAATGGCAAGTATTGAATTGTAGGTCTGTTTCTGCAACTGTTTCCTACAGAAAGTTTTGTTTGCTAAGACGGTACGACAAAACAACAGATGAAAAAGACATCAGCATTTCTAGCGATGATGTTTATACCAAACACTCACCTAAGAAAAAAAAAAAAGGAAAACTGACTACAACTTCTAACAAAACCCCTAAAACAACCAGTATTTTCTTTATAAATCCTCACTCAAAGTCCTCAATGCAGGCTGTTGTAATTTATGTAAAAATATTTGAAACCGGAAAAAAATAACATAATTCCAAAACACGTGGAAGATTTTCCTATTTAATACTGTTACAGAGTAAAGCGTTGGTACGGTGGAGTAATGGATAACGGCTCGGATTGAGAAATCGGAGAGCCGAGTTCGAATTCAACTTGAATTCATTATATTCACTTACGGGATAATAAGGTATGTATCCTCCTCTTCTCCCCTCCCAGCTATGGGTAAATAGCAGGACAGACTGGGCAACTGCAGAAAGAAAGGACAACTTGCTACGGAAAAATAAAAATCTGCTTCTTTCGATACATGATCACCTAAGCGTGTATCACGCATGGCGCATAACTGACTGACTGACTCCATATGTGTGTTTCTGAATTTGAAATTGGAAAAACAGACTGCTAATTAAAACTGAAGACAGATAAAGGGACCTTTTCTCAGTCCTACTGATATTCTCTGAATGTTTTTGAACATGACGCATCACTTGTGGAAGGCTCTCCCCAATCGAAACCTTCAAACTTTCCACCAAGAAGTACCAACTTCTACAAGAAGTACCAACGAAAAAATAATATTATCCTATACACTCATATGCTTGTAAAACCTGCAAATACTAAACAAATCCAATTACCAGAAGTTTCTGTTACATAAATACGAGATGTGTCTATAAACATTCTTCACATCTGCAAGATTTTGCGCAAAAACCTCACCATAACGCTGAAGGTACATTCAGTCCATCATGTACTTCATACTTGCCTCGCTGCTAGTTCTGGTGTTTCCTAAATCAAAAATTGTCCTTGAAAAGGAAGGGGTTTCGAACCGTGAGAAAAATTAAAAATAACACAACTGGACAGCTGATGTTGATACAGGAAGAGTATTTTGCATATATATATATATATATATATATATATAATAGTGCGCTCAAGTCTTCTGAACATTGCGTGAGCGGGAAACTCGGGTTACGAATCGGGCCATCCTTTGATAGGAGTTAAAGCTGTAAAGCGTTTTCGCTCTGTCTAGATAATCTATGCGTTGAGCACTTTATTTCATTGAGTTGGGAGGTGTTTTTCCTTTACGTCACTTTCTTTTTTCTGTCCTTGTTTGAGATTTTCTCTTGATAAGAGTTTTAGGCCTTTTGGCATGTTGTCTGTTAGTTCTACTAACTTGTTTTTTCTTTAAAATATATATATATATATATATATATATATACACATACACACACACACACACACACACACACACACACAAAGGTGTATCAAAAATACTTTTACAAATTTTGGACTAAGTTCCTCACATCAAAATAAAAAGAAAGTTTACCGTAGATGGCGCTATGTTGACATGTAGACTAGACCACATTTGTCATTCGTGTACATTTGTGGCTAGTCTGTCTTTAATGTTTAACGTGTGTAGTCGTGAGTTAACTGAGAAGTGTTCCGTTTAACAATGGCAGGATATTCATATCGTGATCAGGCAGATATGATTTTTACATACGGCTGCGAGAATGGTAATGGAGGCCAAGGATGCACGGGTGTATCAGATTGCGTTTCCAGACCGTAGGCAGCCGAGTCATCCAACCTTTGTTGCTGTTTATCGTCTTGCTGAGACAGGATCCGTGGCACTACAAACTATGGATCGAGCAAGACCAAGATTCGCTAGTACGCCTGACCACGAA